AGCAATGTCTCACTCCACGCCTAGCTATGTCATTTATACAATTGAATATATTTAAACAGAAATTAACTAAAGCCATACAAATGTGTTCGTAATATTTTTCAAGATCAAAGCAAAACTATTATCTTCTACTGGTTCTCGTTTTATCAATTTCAATTATAATCTGTTTAAAATAATATTAGGTACATTTGACAACTTTTAACATAGTACATTTTAGTCATGCTATAGTACAAATAAATCAATAAGGTTTAACCGGAATTTGTAAAGATTACATTGAAATTGTTTTATATGAAACAGCAGTTAACGTTAACATTCTGTTGGAATTTTTTGTTTGGTCATGTCAATTATAAGCGCAAAACATTGTTTCAGTTTTATTTTTAATATAATAAATTATTTTCAAATAGCATAAAGGACGAATGCATAACTTGTAATGGACAAACTGTATGTCATTGTGCGATGATGTAAGTTTAAAAAGAGAAACCATAGTCCAGCTGATATTGTCAGTGTAATTTAATATTCTCTATGCCATTTTTTAAAAAAATTCAAATCAATTTCGATTTTTAGCTTCGATGCTTGTTTTTAAACTTGAAACTTAAAAATGTAACTTAAAGGTGCCATAACGTTAATGATTTCATCAGCTACATCAGCGCTTTAGCAACTCCTCATCACCCAGGGTTTTGGGATTAGTTGAATCCTGGAAATTGTTTTATTACAATACAATTTTGAGTACAGAAAGAAGCAATCGGTACATAGTTTTAGGCTTTACTAGTATTTGCGATGTTAATAAAATTCTCTGATTAATACACGTGCGCACAATAATATGCAAAATTGATATTAATAGTTACTGACACAAGTATGCCATATGCCATATTAAGACGTAGACAGTAAACGTTTCTTTGTGAATAATGGGTAATAAAGGTTAAAAATATCAACTTTTAAAATACAAATTTTAATTAACTTAAAAAAACCATATGGAAAAAAATTTCAAATTGTTTAAATCACTTAAATTCCTTTAAAATATGATAGAATATATCGAAATTGATTGTTAAGTTTCTTAATAGACAAAGGAATAATGAAGACACCCGACGACTAGAATATCTAAATTTGTCATTTTATCATATTTTAAAGAAATTTAAGTATTTCCACAATCGTGGGTTTTTTAACACCAAATACAGCATATTACACGATGCCTATAGCAATGTAATCAATTTATTACAAAATACACCTCGGCATTATTACATTTAACGTTTTATGGTTTGAGCAATTTGACACAATAAGTCGTCATGCAAATTTATGTGTTTATGCATAAACACTTATAGATGTAAAGGCGTGAGTACAAATAAGGAGAAAGACAAAAATCCAAACAATGCAGAGGAAAGTTAGCGAACACCCACCCCCCTTCAAAAAAAAGTTAAAAAGAATACTTGAGAACTGATCGTCCAAGAACCTATATATGCAACATTGCAGCCTATATCCCAACAGGGAGTTCTTTAAGTAATATTTTTAAAAGATCCTTTTGAAAAAAACAAAAATTAACTTATTTAATTAAGAATAGGGTAAGTTATTTGGAATCTAATATATTGTAAGTGTAAATTTGGCAATTTAAATAACTGGGATTCTAAATTATAGCCAGCTAACAAGGGAAAATCAGAAGTTAGTCTACTCTTGATTATGGTTACAGCCCTATTCTAATACACAACAGTTGATGGGACTCCAAAGATTGACTTGGACACGGATATGAAATGACTTCTGATATTATATATGAAACTCTAGAGAAATGGTATTTATTAGAAAAAATCTAGGCGTTTGTATTTGACAGGGCTGCTAGTAATACAGGTCGGTTAAATAGAAGATGTCATATTTTAGAACAAAAACTTGACCACGATATTTCATACTTCGCATGTAGGCATCGTGTGCATAAAAAAGTATTGTAAGATGTATTTTTTGAGATTTTAAATTGAAACGAGTAAAGGGCCAGATGTTGTTCTTTTTAAAAAGCTCAAAAAATTACAGTAATACGAGAAAATATAATACACACCATTGTGTAAATATTCTTCACCTTCCACCTTAGAAGCGAATGTACATCGTGTGCGAAATTAATTAGCAAACACATAAGATTTATTAAATTTTGTCACTCACAAAGTTTATCATAAGCCAATATATAAGACTATAAAAGACACGACAATTCTTATTATACTTGTTTTGATTTAATTCGATATTTTGACTTCAGCGCCAACAGTCTTTCCATTCTCACGTACTTCATTAAATTTCAATTATCTTAAAAACTAAACATTATGTATTTTAAGAGTGCTGTTATTCTCTGCGCGGTGTATTTCTTTACACCTGTGTGGGTAAGATACTTGTTTCTCTAAAATAAATATAGTTATATGCTTATTATAGAAGGTGACTTATATAACATAGTTCTATCAATTATGCATTTAAACTTAAAATCGTATGGCCTTATGCTATAAAAGGTAACGTTTATGCTTTATTAACTTTTAAATTTAACGAAAAATGTTGAATATACAGATTATAATTTATAACGACTAAGTTGTTGATACGAAGAGAATATTTTAAGATTAGTTTGTGTTATTTTTTTTGTATTAGTATTCGGGATAATATTATTAATAATGGTAAATATATGTACATGTATACTTTAGTATATTTTAGTTAATAACTACTAAACAATATCAGGTCTCCGGGGGGCGGGGACTTGTCGAGTTTTGGGATAAAGGCAACGTGTGAAAAGAGTAATTTTTAGTATTATTATAGAAAATTCATAGACCATTTTAGAGCTAATTTATTATACTATATTAGCTTGGAAGTCGACAATTGTTTTATCTTATTAAATAATACGTTTTTTGTTTGGTAATTAATCCAGTGATAACTCTTTGGTTTCTATAACTACTGGTAATTTAAAAAAATAATATGTAGATTTAGCTAATCAGTCAATTTCATAAGATGTACTATCTAGTCCGGAGATACTGCTCTAGCTAAGAATTGTGGTTAAATAAAACATTACAATGACCGAAAAACAGAGAAGAAAACAAATAAAGTAATACAAAAAAATAAAGTACACCATTATGTGTGCCTAGTAAATACTCTTCAACTAACAAACACGAATATTTATGAAATTTTGTCACTCACAAAGTTTATCATGAGTCAATATAAAAAATTCTAAAAGCCATGACAAGTATACTTGTCTTTCTGTTATTTCGTTATTTTGACTTCAGTGTTAAAATATAAAGAACTATACTATATGAATTTAAAGACTGCTGTTATTCTCTGCGCAGTGTATTTCTTTACATTTGTATGGGTAAGATACTTATTTCTTTAAATAATATTTCCTAAAATAAATATAGTTATATACTTCTTATATAAGGTGAGTTATATAACATAGTTCTATCACTTATGCGTTAAAACCTTATGGTCAAATGCTATTAAAAGGTAACGTATATGTTTTAAACTTTTTAATTTAACGAAAATTAAATTGGCTAAAAATGTTAAATGGTCGATAATCAGTATTGAGTAATTACTTATCAGTTTTAAAATATTTGAGAATTTTATAATATTATAAAATATAAACATTTTTTTCAAAAGGAAAACTATAAAATGGTATAATTTTTCCAGAAAATGAGCGTACAACTTTAAATGGATCGCCTGATACTAAGTGTTAAATTATAATTAATTATACTATATTTTAGAGCACTGGGCTAAATAGGAGTCAAATAGAAGAATGTATTAAATTATACGGTGATCGCAATAAGCCAGACAGTAATTTAGTTATCAGACATCTTATCCAGTACGAATTTGGAATTGAAAATCCTAGAACTGTCTTTAATATCTCCTCAAGTAAGATGTTGTCATTATTATTATTTTTTTTTTAATGGGTCTTTAAGACCAGCCCTCCAAGTATACATTCCATCAACTACCTCTGCCCTACGCTGCTTATTCTGTCTGAGATTATTTTTTTGTAATGTTGGAGCGTTGAAAAAGGCCCTGGAGTTTTTGATAATGTCGTTTCCTCCATGCCCCGGTTTGATCATCCTTACATGGTCCAAAATTCCTTCTCAGAATTTTTCTTTCGAAAACCTCCAATTCTATTTCTTCTGTTTTCCTGAGAGGCCAAGTTTCTGAACCGTATAACACCACTGGGCGTATCAACGTTGTATATATCGAATTTATTAACAATTGATCTATTTGATTCATAAATCTTCCATCGCGTGACCTCCAAGTTCCTTTATGGATGTTTTTATGGGTGAACATCGTACTTTGTATTAAAAAACCTTTCCCAGTTGATAGGTCAATAAGTCTAAGGCCATTATCATTTGTCATTTTATGTAGACTTTGTGAACCGATTGTTGGTTTGAACACTCTCTTTTTCAATTTTCGCATTTAGGTCTCCTAGTATTATGTGTATACTATTATTAGGTAGTGACTTGACTATATTAAGTAACTAGGTACTTTATCAGTCTAAATAATTACATATGTTAAGTGCACATAATTTAATTGAATGTAATATATACAATATACATCTTAAAATTGCCAAGCTTTGTTGAAAAATATTATGTTTGTTACTAAAAACTAATTATGTACTATTTAACTTATATAGATGAGCCTTATTATATATATTTTATGAACTTATATTTGGTGCTAGCATATAAAGGAACAATTGACAACTTCGAGGTATTTGATCTAAAAAAACTAGTTTAACAGTAAAACATATCAACTATTAAAAAATATTAAAATATTGTTAAAACATTATTGCGAAATATTCGTGTATGTACTTAGGTTGCAACCCTGATGCCTTTTGAAGTAGAGTTGTTCCTCGAAGTATTCATGAGACAAAAGAGTAGTTGATAAATCGCTGAAAATTATACATTTGCATTAAATGTAAAATGCGTTGACATTTTTGTTCAGCTATCTAATATGTATCCTTTTTCTTTCATACATTATAGGGCGTTGGTCTAAACAAAGCACAAATAGAAGAGTTCGTTAGATTGCATAGACATCATCAAGTTGAATCCGGTTCTATCGATCCTTTGGAGATCAAAAGAATCATCATAGAGTTAAAAATGGTTACTGCGCCGTATCATGACATACTACTATTTAGATATAACCGTAAGAATAAAATATAAATACATTCACGTTAGATACATTGTGATTTCTTGTATAATATATAACTTGCATAGGACCCGCTGCTATACAGTTGATGGAGTTAATGATCATCACGGCAGAACGTTCTAAGACAGCTCCAAGAAATGTAATATAATTTATTTTTTATCAATTTAAATTTGTTTTTTGCTGTCATGCGTTATTTCCCAATTATTTAATTCATTTTTTTACGCTGTACATAATTTTACTTAGATCATTTGCAAAGAAAAGGTGTTAAGTACACCAGAGGTCAGATCAATGATATCTAAATTCAAAAAACTTGACAGGGACGGTGACGGTTTACTCTCCGGCAACGAAGCGGAAAATTTCGTTAATGAATTTAACACTTCAAATCCGGAAGTTCCAATGACATTTAATTTCTATGGTAAGTTCACCACTTATACATTAACTAGCTAACCTGCAAGTTTACTGACCTAAAATATCTCCTAAAAAATTGTCATTTTGTTTTTTAGAAACAAGAATAAACGTTGCCGAATACTTGTTGTTCAAAGTCGAGCAAAAAGAGGTTTGATAATCATAAAAATAATATTTGAAATACTGAAATGTTTATTTATTTATTTATTTTTTTTTTGTTAATAGCCCGAAGGCTGGTGTCCACCCTCAGATTGCTCAATTTATTAATTATAATATTTAAAATACAACGCTTTTATGTCTAATATTATACAAAATTAAAATAATTTATTTTTCTTGTCGAGAGATATTTAATAATAAGTAATATAATGGATTTTTAATGATTCAACGGTTCAGTCAATAAATGTAATTGTTTTTAATTAAATAAATAACATATTATAACATATCAATTTGGTTTTATTTTATTCTCATTTTCTATAAATAACCGGAATGTTCAAAAACGATATTTCGAATTAACTGTAATTAAGTTATAAAAATGTGCAGAGTCAGACGAGTAATCTAATTTGGGCAAACAATATAATTTGTTGAAGACGTTTTGCGATTTATAAACTTAATACCTATGGAATCTCTTTTCCAACGCCAAAAATACGAGCCCCATGTTCGGCTTATAATTATCTTTGTCCCATTGTATAAGAGTATAAAGTGAAATTTAAGAAATATGTAAATTAAAATAATTCATTAAGACAACCGTCAAATTTAGTAGAAATTGGCTATGCAAATTCGGATGAACTTAGTCGGACTGCTGTTAAACCGAATTAAACATATGTATAATAAAATTGATCTAAATTTAATTAAATTAATTAATCATTTTAATAAACCTTCAAATATAGTACAGCTGCCAGATTTCGGTGGTTTTATAAGAGAGTGTGCAGAAAGTATTCTACATTATTGTAATTGTTATTTATACTTAAAAATATTTTTTTTAAATTAATATTATTTTACTTCCAAATTGTCCTGAATTTTCATTTGCCATTAGGTATAGTATGTTAGACACATTTTTAGCTCTTAAGTCGTAAAATTGCGAAAAAATCTTCCAATCCATCCCCCCCCCCCACGAGGCCCCTGCCAGAACACCACTTCATGCGTACCAACCTACACATACCAACCCAAAATCAAAACAACAAAAACCAGTACAGTGGGGTCGGGGCATAGTGGGGACGTTTAGTTGTAATTAATTAGTTTATTTTAAAAATAAATGATGTCAGGCTGGGAGGGAAGCAAAGCGAAAGCGTCGCCCTCTCAGTCTGGGCGATACCGTGATAAAAAAAAAATTATTTAAGTTTTAATCAAACGTTTGACTTTTGACCAAAAAAGATTGTCACATACACGTTCTGCTGGTCATTTATCCGGCGAGTCCATAAGACCAAATACAGAGGAGTGAGGCTCAGGGGTGTGAGAATTCCAATAGAAACTACATCCAAAAATTAACACTATCACTACGTTCACAAAAATGGTTGGCTTTTAAAGGAATTTAGTAAAGTCGCCATAAAAAAACCATCTTAATATACAGAGAAATATTTGTTGGCACGAATTCTCTCATGTTTGCCACTACTAGATTATACTAACTGGATTGTACTAAGTTAGTACTACTAACTAATAATATTGTATTGAGTGGTGTGTTTCAAATAGAAAATCTTACCTTATTGTAACTTGTAAGTGAATCCGCCAAAATTGTATCTGCACTAGGTTGACCGCTTGTTTTCCACATCTTCGATATGTATGTGAACACTGGACCTAAATAATGTTAAAGATAAATTTAACGTTAAAAAAAACAGTAAAGTGGGGTCGGGGCAAAGTGGGGATGGAGCAAAGTTGGATCGGGGCACAGTGGGTGCGGGGATGTCACAGGTTTACGGGAATTTTCAAATCTGAAAGTGATAAAATCACTTTCGAAAAAACGCTTCGATGCAAATCGGTAGTTAGTATTTTCAAGCCAGTACAGTCCAAACCAAGCACAGTATAAACCAGCAAAGTTAGAAAGTATTAAATTGAGGTGCTGTATTTACAAGCGTTTTGTTGAAAGTGATTTTATCACTTTCAGATATAAAAATTCCTGTAAACCTGTGACCTCCCCGTCCCCACTATGCCCCGACCCAACTAGCTCAGTTTCCACTATGCCACGACCCCACTGTACTGGTTTTTTTTTTTTTTTGCAAAAACATAGTGGACCAATTACTACATATACTATGTCTTGTTAAATTTAGATGGAATGTTCGGCAATTCATGTTTCAATCGTTTGTACTCCATAGTTTAAATTATAATCGCTTATTTTCAATAAAATTAACATTTATGTATTATATACTTCCATTGGAGCAATCTCACACTAACTATTTATACTTCATAGATTACATTCTTTCAAAGCTCTATCATACTTCTATTTTACTAGATTGACAATGTACAAAACAAAATGTAACTAAAAAAACCTTTTCATAGATCCTTAAATTGTAAATGGTAGGGCAGTGAAACGGGCGATTTTTCCATTTAAATTAATTGGAAAATCACCCGTTTTGCTGACCCACCCTGTATTTTAATTTCTTGTTGTGTTCTAAAGAAAAATTGAGTTGCTAACATTTAAATTTAAATTAAAAAGTCAAATTTCGACCGTAAAGGAGTAAACTTTTTTAACATTTACCCACCCTATCCAAAGCACCAACTAGATGAAATTTGTGATTTATAGAGTTGCTACTCGAAGGAATTGGTCCAGTTTTAAAAAAGTTACAGTGTATACAGATTAAAAAAAAACACAGATCAGAGTAAAACCAAACCTTTGCCACTGTGCATCGAAGCTAAATATAAAATACTAATGATTAGACATAAAAGGGGTTTGCATGTATATGTATATGAATTAGTATAGTGACTTTTAATTCAACTTCCCAAAATAGTAATATAATTATATTTAATTATTTTATTGTTGTAACTTTGTTGTAAACAAAGGTCTAAAAAGAAACATACTACATTTATTTAATTTCTACATTTTTCGTATTTTCTTGTTTGAACATTTGAATTTTATTGCATGGCAATATACCATATTGTTACAGATATTGTAGCAAAAAATGATTTTGTATAACCACCAATATCAATACTTATAAAACATTCACCTACGTATGTCTTATATTCTAGATAATTCCCTTTTTTTATTATTGTGTTCATATTTTCCGATCTCTGAATATAATATTTTAATTCATCTTCATTATTTAATTTGATTCAATTAAAAAAAATGGAATCACTATAGGTACATGTTCTTTACAATCAAATAAAATGTATTAACTATAAATGTTTACATTGGAACAATTTGAACAATAATTATGTATCTTAAAGTACAAAATAGTTATTCGTCATTGTTAATGTAACATAGTTCACACATTTGAATAAACAAACGACTAGACAAAATTTGTTTAAGTAAAACAACTTATTTTCGGTAAACGACAAACCATAATGTAATATCGTATGGTATTTGCAATTTTTGGGTCATAGAATAAAATAATAAAGCTTTACAAAAATTGTGGAAAAAAATTTTATAAAATTAAAAAAAAAAACGTATTGATTCGTTATGTGTAAGAAAGAGATTTACTGATTATAAATAATATTAGCAATCAATGATTTCAACTAAAATTGAAATGCAAGTTTAAAAAATAAAATATTAATGATTAGACATATAAGGGTTTTGCATGTATATGTTTATGAATTAGTATAGTGACTTTTAATTCAACTTCCCAAAATAGCGATATAATTATATTTAAATATTTTATTGTTGTAACTTGTAGTATTTGACAAGATTGCAGTAGTTAATACAAACACATAAAACTACTAACTATAAGTAACTATTGACTGTGTCTAGTTATAATATAAATGTATTTTGTTTATTACTGGATATCTTTGATTCCAATTTACATTTCTTTAAAAATGCGTTCACGCATTTAGATTCCACTAAGAGCATAATTCGCATAACAACCTAACTTCCACTGTTTTTCATTATTTCTATTTCTAGTGATGACTAATTAAAAACAAAAAAAATTATAAGTCATTTTTATGAAACCACTTTAATTTTAGTTTATAAGTCTGACAACATAATTCAATGGAGGGGGCTTCAGCTTCAATTTTTAAATTTAATAAGTGGACATGCAATCTCTTTTATGATAATTATCGGATAGGAACTTGAAAAAAATAAACGATCAATGATTAATGAATTTTATAGATTCCTAATGTTGTAATGCTGTTAATGTGTCATTAACTGATAATGTTTTTATACACAAAATTCAGTTTACTGTAGGTAAAAAAATCATTTTTGGTAAAAAAACAAAAAATTCGCATAAACAGCACCGTCGTGACCTAAATTTTTATTTTTTTGGCTATCAAAACGAACATGCGACCTTATATGTTGTGCCTAAATACACATTTGGAAACGAAAATATGTTTCCAGCAATTATTTTTTTTTGTTGTTGAAAAAATACATTTTTCGCAATATTACAAATTAATACTATTAAGTTACATTCTTGGAAATCGTAAATTGCTTACAAATAAATACTAAAACGCGGAGTCACTTTCTGAAGTGTCTACCGAACCGAATAATTGTTTGTAGGTTTTATAGTTTAATATCGTTTCTATGAAATGGCTATTATTTGTGTGTATAAGTAATGAACGAAACCCTATAAGCACGTACTAGCCAGACACCAGGCGTGGATCGAAGGAGACGCCTCACCAACCCCATCCCTAAAAAAACCAGTACAGTGGGGTCGGTGCATAATGGGGACGGAGCATAGTTGGGTCGGGGCATATTGGGGACGGGGAGGTCACAGGTTTACAGGAATTTTTAAATCTGAAAGTGATAAAATCACTTTCGAATAAACGCTTTGATGCAAATCGGTAGTTAGTATTTTCAAGCCAGTACAGTCCAAACCAAGCACAGTATAAACCAGCAAAGTTAGAAAGT